AAGTAATCGATAGTCGGTTCCTAGGCACTATTTATGATCTTTTGCTAGAGAAAAGAGAAAGAATTAGATTCTCTTCAGGAATGCCACTCTTCTCCAAATATCAAAGAGAACAAAAGCCATTTAGCAAGAACGGAAGAAAAATTATTTTACTCCTTTTCCTTCTCATTTTTAGAGAAATAATTACTTTCCGATGTAGTATTTCTGACAATAGGCATGCTTTTTGACATTGTAACTGAATTGTTTACGTTAGTACACCAGCTATCTGAAATGGCCCAGGAGAAGCGCTTGGAAATTTTGTGCAAACAAGCACACAGAACTTGTTTTGCTATTTAAACGAAGATATTTAGAATTGAAAAAATGAGAAAAAATACGTTAAAATATTACATCGTGATTGGAAGATTAAAGCGTTTCCGACAGTATTAATTTCAATCACAGCGTACTAAATATTAATTAAATTTTACGCTTTATTACAGAAAAATAAGTACACCTTTCCTCATAAAGTTCGCAGACAGTATTTGTAAGACAGGTGAGGATCGAGTTATGGGTATTAGGAAAATTTCCAGAGACGCTCGTATCTGGTGACGTTACTTTGTGACCTGAAATCGATGAATTAAAAAGATGAAATATTAAACACAATTGTAGAATTCACAAACGATAAACTAGCCACTTGGACGATTTCATAAAATATTATTAAGATATGGTGATCTTTATGCAGTTAATCAACTGTTCGCAAAGGTTAAGAACTTTACATAGGTGTCCCGACATGCTTGATGAGAACTGGTTCCTTCATGGTATTGAAATTCGTTAGCGAGCCAAAATGTTCGTGTCAGGGCACACTTGTATTTTGGCGACCGATGATTAACACGAAGATGCTCTATTCACGATACGGAACTTCAAAACAGTACTGCCACCTTTGTGCTTTTGCATCTTTGCTAAGATGCAGTACTGTAAAAAAAAAAAAAAAAAAAAAAAAAAAAAAAAACTTACATTACGCCCGAACGGGCGTTCTTTTCTGACGTTTTGTGGGTTACCTTTATTTTCTAAATATCATGTTTTTAGCACTTAAACCATATAATTCATTTCAATAGTAATTATCGCAAAATAATTTTAAAATGGTTTGGTTTGGTTTCTTTAATTATGGCAAAGCACACTAGGGCTATCTACCTAAGGGGAGGGATGCCGTCGTGGAGGATTTTCTAAGGAAAACTGGTTCGTATACACGTTACACATGGGGAAAACTACGAAAACCATGCAGCCAGCCCGTTCGCGGAATTCGACCCTCGGACCGAACTACCAATGTTCAGCGCCTTGGCCGCTGGTGGGCCTAATTTTAAAATGAGAATTTCTAATACATAGTCTCGCGCGCTGGAGAGTATTAAAGAAAAAGAAAAAGTTCCCGTACAGTGTTGCCATTGCTCGCTTTGAAAGCGTTAAGTTCGTTAATCAAAACTTCATTAATGTTTTATAAAATATGAAATAGATAATAAAACAAATTCCAAATTTGGGCTTCCAGATGCCCATATTTGGATGGAAACGTTATTCAAAATTCGATGGATCTACGAACTGTCGTTTTATCACAATGCGAGAAATGTACACACATTTATGCAGATTCTTTATCATTTAATTTCTTTAAATATAATATAATAATACATTTATATTTGGTGGCAACAGTTTGAAAACGGAACCGACATTTAAAGTTTTCAACGCAAAATGCCAAAACGAAATTAAAAGCCGTTCTGGGTTAACGCTTTTCGGGCTAAAAAAAAAAAAAAAAAACTTGACGCTTTTTGATTTTATAGTGCGCACAAAGGGGCGTTTTTTTAACGTTACCTTTATTTATTAAATATCATGTTCTTCGCACTTAAAACCATAAAATTCCAGTCAACAGCAATATCACAAAATATTTAAAAGAGCATATCTTCAGAATTTCTGATACACAGTCTTGCGTGCCGGACATAAAAAAACCTTTTTTTTTTTCGTACAGTGCTGCCATTGCGCGTTTTGAAATCGTCGAGTTTGTTAATCATAAATTCTTTAATGTTTGACAAACTAAGATACAAATAATAAAAGAAATTCAAATTATGGCTTCCAAATGCCCATATTCGAATTGAGGACTATGTGATTCAAAATTTGATGTTTCTAGGAACCGTTCCCCCCCCCCACAGTGCGAGAAACATACATACATTCGTGCAGATTCCTCATTATTTAATTTCTTTAAATATAATGCAAGGCTCTAATATTTGGTGGCAATAATTTGAAAAGTGAACCGAAATTTATAGTAAACTGACGCAAAATGCCAAAATGAAATTAATAGCCCTTCTGGGCAAACTACCCCTTTAGGCTATTTAAAAAAATAATAATAATAAATAAATAACCGTTTTTTGAAGATGCCAGCGATGGTTAGAGCAAACCCTCCGACGTTGTTGGTAAAGGTTTTATTTCGAACTTGAAAATATCATCTCCGAAATTATATCTATCAAAACTCTTCATATCCTTATAAGCATTGGTAGTATGCCTCTTCTGGTATTTGTCATAGATTAGCCGTCGTGTCGTTTTGGAATAGTGCATATTATCTGAAAAATGTTGACTTCGAATAAGCATGCTGATAAGAGAGAACAGCAAAGTGTGAAGGCGATAAATATGACAAATATGGAGATTGGGGCACGGCAGGGATATGCTCCTAATCTAACTAACAATTTCTATCACGATGTCATATTATGACGAAAAGGAATCTAGTTTGCTCAGAATATGACATTTTGTTGAAGGGTCGAACAATGTTTTACTTCACTTGCACCAACTGCTCGAGCTGCGCTGTCCCGAATGATGTCTTTCCGATACTCTTTGTATAAAGACATTTTCAATGCCGTCCAATAACCACATTAAATTAGCCTCCGTGGAGGAATTTTTAAGGCGAACTAGCTCACATTCACGTTACATATTCGGAAAACCAGGAAAAATCCGAACATGCAGCCAGCCCGTTAGCCTGGGTTTGAATCCAGGTCGAACTGCCAACATTCAGCGGCCTTAACCACTCGGCTATACGTGGAGAAATGCTAAATTGAAAAATAAGCATCTGAACGCAGTCGAGAATGTGCATCTACTGTTCGATATAATATGGTAATTGATGAAATTGATCCATTTTTTCCCCTAACTGTTAAATTCTACTTTAAAAGAGGCGGGGAACACTATCTCACGAAACATGCTTATCCAAACTATACGGTATCGGGCCGCGTAATCCAGTCAGCAAAAGCAGTCGCGCAAGCATATTTGGATTTTATGACTGTAGTTGCAAATGAAAGACCAGGAAAATAATTTAAAAAATCGAATCAGTACTACATTTTGTGTTCTCTTTATGCTTTATTTTTACACAAAATCTTCCACTTTATGGGATTAATGATAAAAATTTGAAGAACTGGCATTTATTTTATATTCACAGTGATTGCTGGCAACCATATTTATCTACTTTTTCTCACTCCAACAGCTTCCTTGTAAGCAGGAATTGATAGGCCAGAGAAAATCTGTTGCGAAAGAATAGATTACGTTACAGAATAATTAACATCGATTAACAAACGGTAATTGTTGGCTAACTAATTGAAGAATACCATGCGAAACTATTTTAATTACAATAATTTAAGTGGGTTTCTGTTTTGTTTTGCATAAACAGGTAAAGTTGAATTCTGTTTTTCATACATTCAAAAATGGGAAAAAAAAAAAAAAAAGTTATTACTGTACAAAAACAATACAGCGAAATAAACCTTCTGCTAAAAATTGATGGAAGAAAAATAACAAATAACGATTTAAAGGAGAATTCTAAAATATGCTTATGCTATTGCAATCATTATACACTCTTTTGCAAAAAATATCGAAGCACCATGAAGGATGTGGTTGTTTTTGACGAATTTGAATATGTGATCATACACATATAATAATATAATGATTAAAAAATCATAGTATCTGTTCACGGCTCACAATGACCTATTGAGTGTTCAAATTAGTAGTTGGTCGAACCGCCCGTGGCGCAATGCATGCATGAATTCATCTAGGCATCTAGGAGGTTCCTAATGTCATCCTGCGACACATTCTGCCAGGCATTTATCAGCTGTCGCTCCAGATCTGATGGTGCCCGAATCTGGCGGCCTATTATGTCCCAGACATGCTCGATTGGTGAAAGGTATGGTAACCTTGCTGGCCAAGGAAGAGTATCACCCGCAGGGAGACAGTCGAGAGATATGCGAGCGGTATGTGGCCCGGCATTATCTTGTTGGAAAATGGCCCCAGGATGACGTGCCATGAAGGGTAATGCAACCGGTCGCAGGATGGTATCAACATACTGTTGAGCTGTTAAAGATGTACGGAGGATGACTAAAGATGACCTGCTGTCAAAAGAAATAGCGCCTCACACCATCACACCAGGGGTTATGACTGTATGTCTTTGTAAAACAAAGGCTGATTGGGTCCTCTCCAGACACGAACACGGTGGTCATCTGCTTCAAGAGTGAAGCGGGACTCATCGCTGAACACTGTACGACGCCAGTCTGATGGCAGCCATGACAATCGAGTGCGACATCACTCCAGATGACTCCGCCGATGTGAGCGTAACCCTCTGTAACGTGTCAGACAAGCGCCGTGAGATGGTGAACGGTACCAAGGTTCACCTTGGTACCGTTCACCATCTCACGGCGTGAAGGTAGATGTGGTTGTACTACGTATTATAATTCATTACAAAATTATGTATTATCCCCAAAATTATTAAACAAATTAAGATTAATGAACTATGCAATGACGCTTTAGCTATGAGTAGATTATGCTAGTATAAGACTGGCTAGAGTAGACTGCTAGTCGATATCACTTATCACTTTTCAAACATGACTCTCACGGAAAGTAAGATTGACGGAAACAAACTGCGTCAATAACACGGATCAATAAAGAATAATACATAAAAGGGTTTCCTGAAATGTTCGCTTTGCTTTTTAATAACAGTAATGCATCTCTTAACTCACCTGCAGCAGGAGCCTCTCATCAGCCCATACGGCAGCCTTGGTCCAATCAACGACATCGCTGAATGGTAACTCCCACCCGTTGCTTAAGAGAACGGGCACACAACCCGCTTGGAGAGCCTCGAGAAATCTGAAGGAGCCAAGCCGACGTCCTCGGGGCACCAAGCAGAAAGTGGCGTTCTGCAGAAGTACCTGGTAGTCAAACCTGGAATAACAACAAAATATATTAGTGAGAGTTCTCCGAATCTAAATAATAAACCGTTAGAGCACTGTTTATTTGAAAATAAGAATACTTCAGCTGTAGAAGTTTTTAAACTGGTAATAGAAAACAGTGAAACTGAAAATGACAATTCGAGAAAATTACTTAACACTTTTTTTAATGTAAATAAATGCGTAGTCATTTTTTTTTCTCCCAAACCAAGTATAAATATAAGTGGAGAGAATTAAATTTCATGACGCATATAAAACGCTCACTGACAACAAAACTGTTTATTAGTCCTGACATTATTTTCAATAACGGGAGGAAAGGGGTATTATTCAGATTTCTTTCATCTATCACGAATTCTTTCCTTAATACTCATCTAAACACTGTAGAACTATTAAAGAAAATCATATAGGACGCCAGGCACTTCGTCGATGAATGTACGCTTTACTCGAAGTGCAAGAGAAAAATATAGAAAGAATTTTAATGAAGATTTTAAAAGGAACTACTCAAATTTGAGAGATTTTGCAAAGACAATAATGAAGATTATAAATACGAACAAAGACAGAATTGGAATTCGGCACCGAGACTCGGATTTTGGACTTTATATCTTTTTCCTTGTGATTGCTTTCTTGTGCGCCAAATAGGCTTGTGCCGGCTAGGAGTATCGGGACTGTGATAATGCATTTTTAGACTATATTTCAACTCATTTTCTACCGTAAGTACTGTATTTACTCGTGTATCCCTACTTTTAGTATTAAGCTTAATACTGAACATGCCTCGAGGGGAAAATTACGTAGTGTACACTAAAGAACATATACTGTCACTAATTTTGTTATATTATGTTATTTAAATGGCATACCAATTTCAATAACATTATTTTTACTTACACAAAATACGTACTTTCGGATTTGTGCACAAATTTTACATTGGTATCATAAACCAGAAGTTTCTAAATCATATCCTGAAAAAACTAGAAGGAAAATGACGCGAGGGAAGACAAATATCCCGGTAAATACGGTGATTCTTATTAAAAGAATTTGCATTTGCATTTTCCGAGATGAAGATGATCCTACATAAATAATTAAAAAAAACTCAATAAAAAGCCGTATCCATAATACCAAGCTTTTCTGCCGTCACTCGATAAATGCAAGTAGTTACTATAGCACAGTGTATCCAGCGACCCGCATACATGCAGTTACGATTTATTTCGTCTCATTTTTATGTAGCCGCTGAGGCAGAGAAAAAGAAAAAAGGACGGTTCTTAGGGCAGAAAAAAGAGTCATAATGAAATAATAATATATACATAATTACTATTTATTAATTTAATATTTATAGGCGAATAAGCGTAATTACGTAGGAAGAAATTTTCTTATTAATTATTATGTGTAATTAAGTACCTTTTATAATGTGTGCATAATTTAGCACTGAATATGCGTAATTAAGTACCTTTTTGATTTATCAAAATTTTCTCTCGATCTACATTTCGGGAACCACTGCTTTAGTTACACCTAATAAAGATTTCCTTTATAACACTAGTAATACGACAAATTATTCTCTTAATCGATATTTTGCATAGTATAAGCATGTTTCGTAACATTTCAACAAGGAGAGGAGTTAATGTTATGCTAATTATAAGAAATCTTAGCTCATGAAATAAACCCGGGTGATCCGAAAATCGCGCACATCAAAATTTCAAAAACTCTATAATTCAAAATGCGTATTAGTGTTAAACTGTTTCAAGGGATGATAACGCTATAGTGTTACGAGTAAAAAAACACTTGAAATTTCATTTTGAGTTTAGGCTGTTAACTTTCAGAACCGTTTGTTGTGTGAAACATGGAGGTGAGTTTTTTTCAAGCAGAACAAGTTTTCATAATTGAGCATTACTTGGCAACACATAAATTTGAATGAGGTAACATCTTTCTCATACTCTTCGTCGGTGAGTTGTAACATTTCGTCTATTTTGTCCGAACACAAAAGAAACGGGCAGCAGTTTCATTTCGTATGGCGAACGTTTCCAGTTTCTAGAGATCAGGTTACCGAGCAAAATAATATTGTCTCTTAAATTAACGAATATTTAAGAAGGTCTTTTTAAACGTTTCAACAGGTCTTCCGTAAGAGTGTCTTGCGAAGTAATTTATAAAAATTTACTCTGCTTGAGAAAATTTCATTTCTCTCCTACACTACAAAGGGTTTCTACTTCTAACATCATAAATTGCAACTCAAATTTCAAGTAATGATTTACCTTTTGCAGTATAGGGGTAGCATCCATTGAAACAATTTGTCATTAGTATCTATTTCTACCCAATCAGTTCATTGCATCATCATAAACAGCATGAGACTTCTTTGTTAGGTCTGTACTGCTGTTCAAGTTGATCATACACACTAATGAGATTTTTTTTTTTAATTTAATTTTTGAATTTGGCATATTTTACGTTCCCGTTCATATCACAAGATGTACGATCCTCCGTAAAGCATTTTCTTGCCTTTTTAAATTACAAGTGATATGATAAATACTATCACTACATTTCAACCAATTTACTTGCGTATTTCTTGAGTTACCTTCAGTATTGAGTTTGTTGCCGAACTTTTGGAAACCAACGTATAATTATTAACATACTGTTTCAGTAATAATACAGCTTTAAACACTAAATCTAACTGATATTAAAATTCTATCGACATTAAAAAATATAAAACCAGACGACTGCACACATTTACCTCGCGTTTATCCAACTTGATTAAATAGTGGTATTAAAGATGCAGTTTCAATCAAAAATTGCACCATTTCAAAAGAAAATCGTTTGAATTCCTACAACATTTAAAGGTTTGGGATACAAAACATGAAAGCACGCATGGAAGAATGCAGCATAAATCGATAAGTTAATGAAAGGAGACATAAATATATCCATTTTTGGAAGGATGGATTCAATCTCGACAGAATTGGAAAGCAGTGCTTGAAAAATGAAAAACCAAGAAATATTTTTACTTGTACTATTTATTTAATGCTTCCGTTTTTTACTAGGACGTTTTGGCAACATTCGCCCAGGTTTCGTTTATTCTTATAAAATATGAGCTTTCTTATTCTAACCACGCAAATACGACTACACACACACATATAATATATATAATATATATACACACATATAATATATATATAATATATATATTCCATGAAGAAAGAGAATAATTTGATCCACACACAACATACACATCCTTATTCGTTACCCATCCATAGTCGGGGGTAAGTTTCCCGCTATTGCCATCATTCTAGTCCAATCACGTATTATTCAATGTTGTTGAACTGAGGCATCATACTTCTTTTTTCCTCTGTATATTTTTTCTGAGATTCGCTCTTTTCTTTCGTTTTCATTTAACATATTTTATCTACTTAAAATATGTATCACATAGCAAAACGGTAGAATGAATAGCAGCGTTTAGTTTCTCAAGATAGAAATTTTAACTTCCCAAAGAAGAGGGACGGGGAAGAATAACAGTATGTCAGGACCATGTAATATTATTTGATTTCAGAAGAAGAATGGTTCAACCGACTGCATTTATTTTTTTTTGGGGGGGGGTTAGCAAATTCTGTTAAATTATCAAGTAGAGAAGATGAGTTTGTATCGGTATCGTAGGGAAATAGAACTTGGAAGAACTCAGTTTAGAAGAACCGGTATCCGGACAAGAGTGCTTACTGTTACAGCAGAACAGTGTATAGACGGTGTTGAACAGTACATAGAATATGCTTACTGTTGCAGCAGAACGGTGTATAGACGGTGTTGAACAGTACATAGACTATGCTTACTGTTACAGCAGAACAGTGTATAGACGGTGTTGAACAGTACATAGAATATGCTTACTGTTACAGCACAACAGCACATCAGGTAATGCCAAAGTCAGTAGACACAGAAGGTTATGCTTTCTCAACGTCTTTCCGGCACTCGAGACAGTGACGTCCCTTTACTCACGAAAGTGGTTAACTCTTTGAAGGGCGGTGGTTACCTACTTCAAACCACCTTTTCTATTGAACGTCTTACTCACTCGCGTGAGTGATTTTCAAGACTGACCGTTTCTGAAGTTCCCTTGTAGCTCACTAGACGGAACTAAAAAAACATAAGCCAGTAGTTGATGCATCAATTTGTCTTCAAGAAAATAAGCACCAGCCATCGAAGACAACATCACGACGATGTGCACTCTGCAGCACGAAGAAAATGCCTCTAAGAACACCGTGTAAATGCGGCACTCTGCTTGAAAAAGAGAAATGTTTCCATGAGTACCATAGAGACTGATTTGTAGGGATGTGTTCTGTGGAAGGCGGTCACTGACCCTAACCACCAGAAGTGTTAATGTTTTCACCCGTCTTGGATAAACTATGTGTAATGTCGCAAATAATTTCATTGTAACACCTGATACAGTAAATAAAACAAGAGTTTTGCTGAAAACGTTAATTGCCTTTCCTGCCCCTGAAAGAAACAAACCTTGCTTTGGAATACGACATCGCTGTCAACATGCTGATTGACCTTGGTCGAGAAGTATAGTATAGTAATGCAGCATAGTAATCTCGGGTAATATCTTACAGTTTTTAACTGTGTTGAGGCCAAATGATCCATAGTCAACAAATCGTACACAAATTATGATCCTCCCTCTTTTGATTCGGATGTTGGTTGTAGAGAAGATAATTTGGAGCGAGAGTACGGAGGCAGAAGTTCCCTTGTTTGAGCTTAAGATCACCAAAAAACAAACCGTGCTCTTGCCTGTAGTCAAAATCTAGACATTTGGATAGCTGAATCGAGGGATTATACATTAAATTACCAAAGTACGACGCATGTCTTACTACCTCACAAACATAACCACACATAATATTCATGGCACTTTTAAAAAAGATGCAGATATGGCTTACAGCAAATGCTTTAATAATTATTGACTCTGTAAAATGGAATACGAATCACTTAATCCAAATAAAGCACAGCAGGAAAAAGTAACAAGAATTTCTTTTCGAACTA